GAGCGTGCCGGTCAGGTCTAAATAACGCTGCTTTTGGTGGGGTTAACGAGGGTGAGCCCACCCGGGATAACGGGGATCTCTCTTGCCGTGGACTTTTTAACTTGCGCGGCCTGTGCAGCCCTTTTTTCTGGGGGGAAGAGCCCACAGCCCAGCAGAACCCCCCCAGCGAGTAGCGGCTCCAGCGCCCCCAAAGGCCAGGCGAGGGCCGGGTGTGGAGATACAGCGGGTATCTCTTCCCGGCTGGCCGCAGCAGGGAGGAGCAGAGTCGCAAAGAGAGAGAGATAAACACCCTTCGGGTCTTTGTTCCGAGATAATCTCCGTTCCGGTAGCAGTTCGAGGAAGAATTCTCCTCTATGGAGAAGGCGTTTCGCGTAGCCCTGCACGCCTACTACGTCTTTTTCTAACCTGAGGCTCTTGTGGCACTTTACAAAGGGAAGCGGCTCCTTATGCTGGTTTTATACGTAGGGAAACTACAGTCCTGAGAACAAAGTTAATTGCCCCGGGCTACACAGCTCATCAGTGGGAGAAAAGCTGAACCTCACCGCCGGTTGCTCCAGTCCGCTGCCGCTTGCATGCGTGGAATGATCCTCTCTGCTAGTGTAATTCTGTTTTTATTTTACTTGCTTCTGCTGTTCTTACGCAAGGGAACGTTTCTTCCTGCGCTTTGCTGCTTTAAAACCTGTTGCTTGCCGTGCATGCAGACCTAAGCTGTTGCTTTTATTTCTTGCCCTCTAAATAGAGCTCTGATCTTACGGGGGATAAGTAACTCATATTGCCAATAACTAAAGATTTTCCAACGGCATGTGGGGAGCTGTTGTTCTGCCACTTGGTCAATAAAATAAGTTCTTCAGTGAAACGCTCTGGTCGTGATACGAGTTCACGTGGTTCAAGGAGTTTGCACATATGAGCAGTTTTACTTGGGGCTACTTATTTGTAATGGTTTCAATTTAGAGAATGTAGCAGTCATGCATGCCTGACTGTCAAAGAATGGCAAAGTCCTCTTTAGCTACCCTATGGCTGATGTGCTCTTTGCATAGAGCTTTGCTTTCTGCTTTGTTGCAGCTGGCCCGGATTCAGACCGACAGCGTGGTCAAGATGCTCTGTGAGCTATACCCCGACCTCCGCTTTGAGATTGGTAAGGTTTTGCTGTTTGGTGTGAGGGGCTTTTTGGGTTTTTTTTTTTTTTTTTTTGGATGCTGCCATGGGGTAGATGGCAGCAGGAGCCAGCCGCTTATCTTTACGTGCAAGAGGTGTGCATAGAGTGCTGTCGTGAGGAGGAGGATTCGACCCTGCTTATCTTAGAGCGCTGCCTGAATTCAGTTAGGTCGTGCAGCCCAGCAACTGCTGTTGGTTTCTTCTAGGGCAGAGAGGTGGATTTCGTATGCTCCTGATGATCGAAGCTCGGAGTATGCCACGCAGATGGCGTTATGTTGCTCCATTTGAGAACCGGGTCGCGCGCTGGCAGTACCCCGCTGTCCATTAGGGACGTTTTCCTGTCTGGGGCTTGAGGCGTTCAACAGGAATAATGGGAGCCCAGCCCCGTACTGAAGAGAACTGCCGAGTACCTGTTCACTGGTACTCCAGAGAAAGAGCGTAGCAATTTCCATTGGGTTTTTTTCTTTCCCTTCGCTCTGTTTTTGAGGACAGCGAAGGAAGTCTCAATTTCACTTGTCTTGCGTGCAGTGTATTTCTACAAGCATGCTGCTCTGATACTTATCTCGAGTCTGTGTTCACGCGGCGGCGTGTGAGGCCGTACTGCTCGTTACATGTTACGTAGGTACTTCTGGTCTAGGCCTAGGCGGTCTGACCGAGCCTCGTGTTTTACTTGTGCTCTCTCTCTGAGCAGTTGCCATGTCAACAACCGGAGACAAGATCTTGGATACGGCACTTTCCAAGGTAAACGATCTCTTCTTCCGCTACGCAAGAAGTAAATGTATTTGATATATTTGCAGATGTTTCTTTTGTGATTTCTGTTCCTCCATTTACGTGCAGATTGGGGAGAAGAGCCTCTTCACCAAAGAGCTGGAAAACGCACTTGAAAGAAATGAGTAAGAGCTCATTGTTTTCTTTTCCTCCTCTGGCATTCGGTGCTCTTTGGACATCTTCGGCTCGCTACGTATGTGATCTAGTTTTCTTCTGGTCCGCCACCTCTCTGGCTAAGAAAGGACTCCTTTGATAAGTTGCTGTCTCTTTCTTTTTTTCTTTCCCCTTTCTACCCTGGGCTTAGGCCACGTATTTCAAAGCGGAGTTGTTGTGTCGCTTGGTCTGCCCCAGTTAGGTTTTTTTTTTTCTTTCTCCTGTGATTTGTGCATTACGTGTGCATCAGAGAGGATGTAATCTAATCTAATTCCTGCTTGCAAGTATGTTCTTTTAAAAATACTTTGCTTGGTGGCGTTAGCATATTGCGTGACATGTTTAGTGTTATCATGGTAACATTTATTAACGTATTTGCATTTTAAATATGCAAGAGAATTGGGCATGGGCAAGTTGTGATGCTTTCTAGGTAACTTCTTTCTACAGAAAAACTCATTTCTGGCTCCTGCTAGAGCAGAGAGACACATTAGTGCGCTGCTTTTTTTTTTTTTTTCTTCAGTATCCTAGGAGGGTTTCAGTGGTGCTTACGCCTTCCTTAAAGTAGGTTTAAAAACAAAGATCGTCTTCTGCATCTGTGATGCGTAGGCACGTAATACTGCGTTTCCGAGTAAAGTAGGTGAAAGAATACCGGAGACTCAAGCGTTTAGAGTGATGTCCGTTTGCCTTGTAACGAAGCAGATAGTGCTTGCTTTGGCTAGCTGTTCTTTACAGTTTGAAGTGTAATACCAGACAACGTACTGGTTGCATATTGGTACGATGAGTCTCTCTGTGTGAACATCTCTGGTGTCTTCCCCTCATTCGGCCCGATTGCTGTAATGTGTCTTGCATCGCTGCTGGGAGGGAGGCATTGCCTTAATTTCACAGGCGGGAAAAGGGAGACGGAGAAAGGTGAAGTGGCTTTTCTGGAGTAATGCTAGAATTCTATAGCGATTCTGGCTATAGAATCCTGAAATTCTTCTTCCTCCTCCTCCAAATTAATTGCCAGGGTGGATTCACAGTTTTCTGTAGATGCCCTGCAGGCCTCTGGTAGGTACTGTGTGAGCTCAACCATATGTTCAGTGATTACTGTCCTTTAATTTTTAGAGTTGACCTCGTGGTGCACTCCTTGAAGGACCTACCAACTTCTCTTCCTCCTGGCTTTACCATCGGCGCTGTCTGCAAGTAAGTGTGGACGTGAGGCTTGATTCTCCGAGGGATTTGCATTTTACAGGATAGGTAGCGGTAGGAAAGCAAAGGCAGCTTAGGTCCTTTTAGGTATTAAAAGTTTGACCACCACGTCTCTGAAATGGTGGAAACACTAGAGCCAGCAGGTTTGCTGGAAATCCTTGCTTTTACGATGATGATGGGGTATTTTGGAGCCAGAGGCGGTTCTTCTGGGAACCGGTAGCAGAACTGTTAGGCTTAAGAGCCCTCCGTTAAATGATGTGTCAGCCATTCTGTACTTGCGTTATTTTGCAGAAGGGAAAACCCACTCGATGCTGTTGTCTTCCATCCCAAAAACTGTGGGAAAACGCTGAACCTCCTTCCTGAAAAGAGGTGAGCGGGGAAGAAGAAGGGAAAGACGATCAGGTGTAAAAATGGGAGGGAGGGGTTGGTTGATACTTCCCAACGGCAAGTCAACGAGCTCCTCGCTTTATCCGTAGCGGTTTTATGCCGCCCTCGTTAGCTTTCCATAGACGTTACACTGAACCTGCTTGCTGAAAAGGGCAGCGCTGTCTCGTGGGAGTGCTGCACACCCCATGAGGTTGGATCTCTTGAGCCACCCTCGAGTTGCAATGTTGTCTCAAGCTAGACCCTTTCTTATCGCGGTCTCCAGAGTGAATTCCTGCTCCTTTGTATTGTGCTTACTGCAGGGGAACGCATATAATGCAGACAGGGTGTCTGGTGCAGTATTTTAGGTTGCACGGGCCTGAACTATGCCCTTGCTCTCACCCAGCCAGTTCTGATTTCTTTGTTACTTTTTTGATAGCGCTTTTTTACGGTTCTGCTAGGAGCACGAGCAGTTTCTCCATTTTGAATTACCTGCCTTTTCCTAGAGGTTATTAGTCTCTTGTCTGAAACAGCTGAGTGAAATTACTCAGATTGAGGTAACTATCGAAAGATTTTTTTCTTTTTACGTTAAACAAATTAGCTGTGACGCAAACATAGACTCGTGCTTCTGCACATCTGGATAGTGGGAGAATCACGTCTGGTTTAGGTTCCAGGGTACCGAGAAAAGTGAATTGCATACATCTCTAGGAAGGAAATGCTTACTGCTCAGACTGGCAGTTTTCTGTGTTTTCCAGTTATTCACCCTACTGTTTCCAAAGGTTCTCAGCCCACTGCATTTCTGTCACTGATGAAGTCCCTCCAGTAACTTCAGTTGTCTGGCTATGTCTGGTTCAGTTTGGGGCAGCCGAGTCGGGTTTTTTTGTTTGGTTGGTTTTGGTTTGGTTTTTTTTTTCTGTGACAGTCTTTGTGGTCTTTAAATGAGGTTTTAGCAGTCCTTGATGGTGGCATGGGGCTGCCCTCCAGAAGCATCTCCTTTAAATTGGTTCCTTGGGAGTGGCTTGCCTGCACCTAGCTTCAGCCAGGCTTTATGCTAAACCTCAGAGTGGTTTTCTTTCTTCTAAGGAGATATAAATCATTGGCAGGTCATTTCAATTTAAAAAAACCCCAAACTACTCATTCGTTTCCTTGAAAGTTCTGACATAAATCTGGCTGGAGGTGCATGTAGGAGTATTCTGGATTTCATTGATTTTTATTTTCCCCGCAGCGTGATTGGAACCAGCTCGCTTCGGAGAGCAGCCCAGCTCAAAAAGAAGTTCCCTCATTTAGAATTCAGGGATATTGTATCCTTTCCTGGCAAAACGTGGGAGCTGGGTAAAGCTGCAAACAGGAAAATAGAACTTCATGCGAAATGTAGAATCAGGGCGGACTTATACCACCTGACCTACGAGAACAAACTGCTTCCTCAAAGGCTGCCCTCCACTAACCTGTTCTGAGAGGGGTGTATAGCCCGTTTTGTCCTCTACTTTCTCACGAGGCTGTAAAGAAGGGGCCAGCCTTAATCTAGCTGAGATTCAGGATGCAGATGAAATTTACAGGAAGGAACATTGGAAAAATTGCTCGACGGGTGCCTACCGCGTGTTTGTCGCGGTGGCGTGGCCGAACACCGATTGGTTTCTGGATGCGATTTGGGCCGCTAGTTCTGATGTGGGCCGCTGAACTAGTGGTAAAAGGCACCGTTACTTCAGTCCTAGTAGCCGAGTTCTTTGCTATGCAAAAGGAGTCGATGTCGGGAGTTAATGATGTACTTAAATGACCGCGTATCTTTTGAGAGTCAGTGCTTGACTTAATATTCCATAATGCTCGGCAAAATTCTCTTTAAAGAAAGAATTGTCCATATTTAACGCTTCTTTCGGGACCGTACTCTGGTTCTCATTTGGAGGTTGTTGGATTCTGTACATTCTGTAAACACACTCAAGCGAATGTTCCGTGGTTATAGGACTGTTTCCCTGCTGTTTCTATGCTTGCTTAATCACTTCTACAGAGAGGGAATTTAAATACCCGCTTAAAGAAGCTTGATGAGAAGGAAGACTTCAGTGCCATCATCCTGGCAGCTGCTGGACTGAAGAGAATGGGCTGGGAGAATCGCATCGGCCAGGTGAGGAGCACCAAAGCAGAAGATACCATTGTCTGCCGAACCATCAACCGCTCGCCTTTCAGACCTTGCAGTTGTCGTGTCAAAGATGAGCATACAGTCTGCTGAATCCATTGACACGTTAGCTCGTGATTTGTTGCGCTTCAGGCAGGACTTTTTTTTTTTTTTTGGTCGGTTTGTGGTTTTTCTTCTAACAAAAATTTATGCCGTTTAGCTTTCTGTGGCGCGGTAACAGTTTGTATCCTGATCGTCTCCCGGCATTTCACAATACTAGTGTCTAGCAACGCAGCAGCGTGCGTGACTAAGATTTTTCCGATTAGCTAATTGACAAAGTGTTACAGTCCAGGTGAAGGAAAGTGCATTGTCTCGCTTTAGGGGCTGAAACACTGAGGCACGGGAAGGGGGAGGTGATATTTCTTTGGTCGGGCACAAAATCAATTGATGGTAGAGGCGCGCATAGCATTTAGCTCTCGCTTCCTATATTCTGAACAGTGCGACTTGAGTTAACTCTGCTCTTACTTTCTTCCAGCTCCTCAGCCCTGAAGATTGTCTGTACGCTGTCGGACAAGTACGTTTGACCTTTTGTATCTTAAGCTGTGCTGCGTATTGAAAGCCAGCAGCGGTACGATGCGTCAGAGTAGTTAATTGCGCTGAATGCTTCTCGCGCATCGGTTGCCAAAGAACCGCTGCATCGCTCTTTTGTTGGCCGTTACGCTGTTTTAGGCACGGCTTGTGGGAAGGATGGTAGTCAGCTATCTTAACCGGTATGGTGGGTACCGATTTCCATCGGTAACGGTAAAGGTAACGTGTGGCACAGCTACAATGGCGCAACGTGGCGGATGCGGGGCGGACTCCGGCAGGGTCGGTGTTGCGCTGTACCGGGATAATTGTGCGGAGCCACCGCAATATCTGCCCTGTGACGCTCCTTCCTTCTCCCTTACGTGGTGTGTCCTAACTTCCGTAGGGTGGAGCTGAAACACCTGCCTTGGAGCACATTCTTAGCGCTTTTGTTTCTAGGCGGGCAAACCGTTCCAGCCCGTGCTGGCCGTGTGACCAAGTTTACACGGTGTTGCACGGTGGGTATCAAACTTGCTAAACCCGAGCTGCTATGCATTAGTGATTGCAAGTGACGAACCTGCAAGCTCAGTCTGAAAGAATGATTTTGTGATTTTGATCATCTGCTTGTCAGGTACCGTGCAGTTCCTTCCCCTCCCACCCCCCAACCTCATTTCCAGTTTAGGGAAGGATTGTTTTGTCACCATTACTCAGTCAGCGCTTGATCTTTATCTTGGGAAAAGGTTGGGAGGCTTGGATTTATCCAGCCTTCTTATCGCGCAGGGACCATTGGAGTGGGTGTTTCTATACGTGCAGTCTTAACTGAGATAGGTTTGAGGTGACGGCACGATCTCGAACACTTGGCTGAAGTAAGTTCTGATCTTCCCTTTACAGCAGCTGCTATAGGGTGTCTCTGCAACCCGTGGATTATTTTGTAATTCATTTCTGTAAAGGTCTAAGAACATTGCTCCCTTAGTGAAATGCATCCAAGCCTCCGAGTTGTGTCTCACAACCAATGCTGAGTGCAAACAGAGATGCAGGAAGTCGAGGAATTACAATTATTATGTTGCGTGTTTGTTTTTCTTACACAGGGTGCCTTAGCAGTGGAAGTTCGTGCCAAAGACCAAGAGATACTGAATATGGTATCTGCCCTGCATGATGCAGACACCGTGTTATGCTGCATTGCTGAGAGAGCCTTTATGAAACGTTTGGTAAGTGTGGCATCCTCGCTCTTCTGCCTCCGGCAGTAAATACTGCTCTGCTAGTTGACCGGATGCCATAGTAAGGGAAACCTGTTACACTTTGCACTAAAACTGTGAAGTAGCGATTACTTCTGAATCGAGAAGGGCCTGAGGAGCGATAGGCGGGGTTGTGTGCAGCCTAAACTTTTCAGAGGCCTCTGCTTTGAACATGTCGGGTAGGAGCCTCGGTGTCAGCTGCTCTCTGTTTTAGGAGGGTGGATGTAGCGTCCCTGTCGCCGTCAACACCGTGCTGAAAGATGGCCAGGTGAGGACTACTTTGTATTTTATCTGGGATTATTTCTAAAAACCTATTCCAGTGCGTGTGTGTTCCCTGATCCTTCCCTGAAGGTAACTCCAGCAGGTACTTTTATAGCCAATTAGGGCACACGGGCTCCCGACTTGAGCCTTCCGGGTTTGCATCCAAAGCCAGGAGCATGAGAATGGGTCTGGCTACCAAAGCTGTCTCACAGAAAATGCTCTCATAACAAGTACCAGATTTCTGCCCGCCCTCCCCTCACCCATTCTTTAAAGGTATTGTTGCCCTGAGATCCAAACCCCTCGCTTCTGACCCCAGAAAATCACTGTTTTTACACAATGGGGTGTGATTAAGGAGGTGGGAAGCTAGAAGAAAGTTCAGCTTTTTCCTTGGGAAGTCGCATTGTCCCTAGCAGGGATTACTTTTCTTATAGCTGTATCGTACCGCTGTTCTTGCTGATCCCACTGCACTACAGAAGCCTTCCCCTCCAGACTTGGCTTTGTATGCTGTGTGTTTTTTGTAAAGAAAAAAAAAAGGGGGGGAGGGGGGGTAGCGGGCTTTCTGTTTGTTCGTTAACGTGGTACTAATCCCTTCCGTATGTCTTTCCAAGTTGTATTTGACAGGCGCGGTCTACAGTTTGGATGGATCCGATAGCCTGAGGGAGACTATGCAGACCAGCGTTAATTATTCCCAACAGGTACGTGAACCACGGCGGGTTCAAAATTCAAACCCGAGGCTGAATGACAAATCCAGACCTTTTGAAATCAGTCTATTACTTTTGGTCTGGTTCCTTGGAAACAGTAACAGTGTGCTGTTCTCGAGGCTCCTCGGACCACAGACGTTACCCTGTTTCACACGTGGCTTAAACTATTCATCGCCCGCTCCTTCCCACTGCCTTACCTTGAGGTGTTTATATTTGCAGAACGAAGATGGACCAAACGATGACGTGCAGCACGTCGGCATCACGGCCAAGAATGTCCCTGGTCAGGCCCAGGAAGCTGCAGAGCACCTTGGTGTTGAACTAGCTAGTTTACTTCTGAGCAAGGGAGCTAAGCATATCCTTAGCGTGGCGAGGCAGCTCAACGATGCCCGCTAAACCTGCGGTGTGGTCGGCACGATTGCTACAACTCTAACAAGTGTTTGCAGCTATGCTATCCTCCTTTGGAGGAAGAGATTTATTTAAGTGTTCATACCGGTCTTACCTGATGTCTGGGTACAAAAACTTGAAATACTAAGTTGACTAATGAGTAGTTTATGCCGTTCAGGGATTTCATCCCTCTGCGTTTCTCTAAATTATCTCTGAAGTTTTCTCAACAATTTTTGTAGCTAGGAAGTTTTAAAAAAAAAAAAAAGAAATCTGTAAGTGTCCTCCTATTCCATTTAGGAACAAGGCACTCATTACAGATTATAATCAGACTCAATTGTGATGGTACTAAAGCACTTTGAGTAGTCGCTAATATTATTTGGGCCCGTTCACTCATCAGAATGCTGAAGAGGAAGACTGCTATTTCAGGTTCCCAGTACCGGGTTCCTCATAGTAAAGTAGCACAGATGCCACGTGTTTATCACAGGTCTTGGTTAAGGTAAGAAACGAAGCTTGTGGTTACTGGATACAAATTTGTCGAATCGGCCAGTAATAAAATAGGAATTAAGTGGCCAGCTAGCATAGCTTCCCTTGTACGCTTGCCAACAAGGGTAGTCAGAGACAGTCGTTCATCTAGACTGGTCGGTCAAGGGGGAGCTGAAGAGGAAGCGCAAATTTGAGCCCTTGTGCCTTTCTCGGTTAGCCCTTTCGTTTTACCGTGGCTCCTCGCACTCGCTACCGAGCGGCCGTCCTCGGCCCGGCTCAAGCGTTTACACTGCTTTGTGGAAACACTGGAACGGCACCTGCCTGGGGTCCCGCGTTTTGGAAACGAAGCATTGTTTATTCTCTATGCAACGTCCACTGAATGTAACAGACCACAAATACAGTTTTAATTACAAGCACCCCAGTGTTAAGTTCACGTCTTTACGGAGCAGCTCTTCTGTTCAGAGTTTTTTTTCGGACCGGACTTGAGCGGGCCGGTTCCTCATC